ACATAGGGTTTTATATGTCCGGACATATTGGTAAATGATCTGGTCTTTAAACCAGATTTAGTTTTCTTTAGCCTCAATGTTTGTCCATTTTAAACCTAAACAAATAAATAAAGAATAAACTAGTATAACGCATTTGAAGAGCATTAGACTGACTCTACGATTAAAAAGATCTAATATGGTGAAGAACTCAGATTTGCAGTGGTGTCCTCATTGCTCTACAAAAGCTTTCAGCAGACATCAGTTTGTGTTAGCAGAAATTTTGAAGAAATCTGAAACTAACTTGGAGAGCTATTTACCTATATTACATGTAAAACAGAAGCAACGACAAGTAAAAACATCACCCCCACGTTCCTCTTATTTTGTGTTGCATTCATTATTGGGTAACAATGGCGTCATTCACATAGAAACAGTACAAGTTGAGAGCGTGGGCAAACTTCCAGAAAATGAAGCAGTTTGATCATCGTCACAGACAGATGGAACTCAGTCTTCTACAGAAGAGGAACGCCTACATTTAAAAAGAAAAGTCCAACACTGACACTCAAGAAAATAACAAATACCATTATTACAGGCAGAAAATATATAAACCAAATAAAAGAGATGCCTCACCAAAAAAAAAATAATAAACCTGTATATCTTTATAAAGGTCTAAATTTGGGTAAACAACTGGATTTACACCATTCACACAGTAAGTTCTTCTGTAGAGGGAGATGAATAGTTTGGCCCGGGCCTCGTGACAAGAAAAGACTTAAAGCTAAGAACAAAATTTTGCAATTTTTTTCACACAACTGCGACAATAATAGAGGACCTCGCAGGTTCAGTAAGTTGTTGGCAGTGAACAATGAAGGTCCCTGGCATAATCCCAGGTTTGTAGCTGCAAGAATGTCCTAGGGCAGGGATAGAAGTGATTCATATCAGATAATATCAATAATCATTGATTAGCTGTTTTTGTTTTACCTGTTTGAAATAAGATCTGGGAGAAAAAAGGCTGATTAATCCTGCCAAACTGATGTGACCTTTCCTCTTAAGCCAGTCAGTTGATGCCACAAACCTTGTTTAGCTGGGCCGTTCTGGATCAGAGCCCAGTGAAATTATCAAGATTTTATTGGACGTATTTTCTATTGATACTGATCACGTGTCTGTCACAACAGATATTGTTTTATCAGCCAGTCCTATCGCCTGGTTTTCAGTCTGCCCTTGAGACAACGGTCACCCCAAAGCCTAAACAGGACACTGTTGGACCCCCGATTCCCACCAAACACACATTGGTGCATCCTTTAGAAACTGGGGCATTGAGTTATGAGGATAAACTTTACAAGTGCTTCATTCTCAGGGTTTCTCCCAGTGTATTATAAGTGTGGTGGGATACCAGGTCTTGCTCGCCCCCACCCCTGCCAGGCCAAGTGTTGTCGTTTATTTAGAGGCCAGCAGAGACTACAATAACAGAATAAGTGGGTGGGATCTAGCATTAGTAAACTAACTCACTTAAACATTTATTTATAGAGCCATTGGTCACTGGAACGTAGGGCTGCGCGGTATTTGCGATAGACAGTAGAAACGGTATGAAGTTGGCCTATGGTAGAAATTTACTCTCTAATGTCATATCGTCATTACGTCATCGCAACTGTGTCGACCGGGCTGTGAGTGCAGAGACAACTGAGCAGGAGGAGTTTGAAATATTCTGAAAATAAATGAAGAAATATAGCATTTTAAAACACGTATAGAGAGAATAAATACTTAAAATTCCCCCACCCACTGTAGAAAAATTACATCGCGTCACAGGATCATTTCCTCCCTCCCGCTGCACGTTGCACAGAGTGAAGCTTTAACCGTAGTTTTTTCACATTCAAGTTGTCAGAGAAAAAAAATTGTGTTTTATGTATTGTTACCCTGTTGTGAAATGTTTGTGGAATGTTGTGTTAAAGTGATTTAATATACATATGCACAGATATGATAAAAAAGATGTGGACCTTCATTCAGTCATAAATCCCTCTTGCTAATGTAACAGTTGGCTTCTGCTGAGAGCGCAGTAGAGCAGCAGCCGATAAGTTTAACAGGCAGAAGCTCAAATGGCAGGCAGATATTACATTTATTTGGCTTCACCACACTTACATTCCAGTTATCTGAAATTGTTTTATGACAGGACTATGTGCAGCTTAAGCCCCTTCAGGTCCTGTCACACTATAACATTTTAGTCAACTTATGCCAACTCAGAATTTATTATGACTAAATGACTAATTTTACTTGAAGTACTGGTTATAACATCCACTTTATTTTGATATTGTTGAAAATTCGAGAAATGTTTGTTTGTTGTTGAAACTGTTTTTCAATATATATTTTTCAATATATACACAACATTCTTTTGTACTTCTGTTATGTTCATTTTTACTACAGGAAAAATGCTGGGTTTGATTATGATTACAGTTTTCTGCAAAATAAATGCTCTAAGAATTACATTATCTTTGCTTTTTATGATAATTTTCTACCGCGATATATACCAAACCGTGAAGGGATCCAATTTATACCCAGATATGAATTTGAGGTCATACCGCCCAGCCCTACTGGAACGCATTATCTTTTGATTTAAAAGTATTAGACAGTTACAGTATATTGAAGTGTACTTTACGGGGTTGGTTATTCAAAAGGATAATGTTGAAGCAATGATGGTGTTAATTGTTTAATTCATTTATTGTTGGCTCATAGTGGGGTTTTTTTTGTGTCTTCTGTGTTGTGTTTTGTAGGAGTTTTAAGCCAGTTGATTTACATGGATGTTCCTTGTTTTTGATGTGTGCACTGGCTTTTAATTGAAATAAAATTTAATTTAATTATACTTTCATTATAAATGTGTTTGTTTATTGATTGTGTTTTGTTTTGATGTTTTACTTTGTGCGCTGGGCCCCAAGAAGAATAGTCTCTGCCTAATGGGGACCCTAAACAGAAAAGAAAATAAAAAAAATTGTAATGTAGCATTCTGCTAAGGTTTACAGGCAGATCAAAGAACTAGCAAATATATAAAAAAGAAAAAAGACAAAAAAAGCGTGGTCAGATCACAGGACATCAATGTTTTGAAGACAACAGAGCAAAGATGAAATTTTATCATATCTCAACCAGGTCCATCCACAGACATAAAGGTTCTTCTTTGGACATGGTGTTTTTAATAGAAATTATGAACTAAAATGATGAAAACAAAAAGGAAAAGAAAGAGAGACGTAGGTTTTAACAGCAGGAGCAAAATAGGACCCCATTATTACAATATTGGCTATAAAAAAATCAGAGCAATAAATCCATCCATCTGTATCTATACCTGCTCGGTCCTGCTCAGAACAATAAAATACAGAATCAATCTGACGTCAGTGACGGCAGCAGCGCAGTTTAAAGAGGGGCAGCAGCTGCCGACACACAGACACTCAGTCTGAAGCAAATGAAAACAGAACTGTTTTAAAATGAGCATTAAAGTCAGAAATTTATCTAACAAATGTCCACAATGGAGGAGGAGAGCTCCATCAAAATCAAGCCTGAAATAAGAGGTTTATCATTGATTTATGACAATAAAAAGAAAATTAGAAAGCTAACCCTCTAAGGCTCACTGTCAGTGTGTAACATGCTGTTCTTGGCACGTTTTCCTGACAGTGATCTGATGAGGCGTGTTTGTACTCATCTGGGAACAACAACATTCATATATCATCTTTACTTCATCACGATGGCATAATGAGGATATATATCCTGCTGTAGTGTTCTCTGTGTGTAGGGTGAAATAAATACACATCTATACACAAAGCTTATACTTTGGAACATTTTCTACTCCCTAGTAATGTTTGGAGTGACCTCAGAGTGTAAGAATATATTTTTAAACACTATCTTCCAGGAGATGTGTGTTGGTGATAGGGCTGCCACGATTAGTCGACGACTAATCATTTATTAAAATAATCGATGACTAATTTAATAATGGATTAATCGTTTTCTTTTTTTTTGTTCTTTACTTTGTTTTTCTCTCGAAACTGCTTTGACACCTTCCACTGCCACATCTGCCTTTCCATCCTAGGAATGTGCAATATAAACGATATACGGTAGAAACGATATAAATTTGGCCTTTGATAGAGATCTGTAGTCTACCGGCCAACCGCACAATTCTTTTTGATGACATAACCGGCTGGAGTCAAAAACAGAGGAAGCGGGAAGCAACCTGGCTGAGAGCGCAAATGAAGAGGGGGGGAAAAAACTTGTCCGGACCTGGTTCGGGTGTGCAATATATACATACACAGTATATCTTTGATTTAACCAGGTAGGTCTCCCTTAAATTTAGATTTTTATGGGAGACTTTAAAGTGTCCCTTGAAAAATGAGATTTTAAGGTCTACATTTTTTTACCTATACATATTTATTCCACTCATTTAATGTGTGATTTATTTATTTTCTATTATAAGATTTATATCGTGATACATATCGTTACCGCCACTCATCATAATGTATATCGTGATATGAATTTTTTGCCATATCGCACATTCCTACTTGACACACATGCACAGTAGTGGTAAACGGGGTGGGCCGTGGATGTGACGAGACATTATACAGACAGGCTCTAGTATCATGGCTACCCAGCAACGGAGCTCAAAAGTGTGGGATCATTTTAAAACAAATGAAAGAGAAACCTGTACAATCCAATATCTGCAGAGCAGAACTTGCCTTCCACTGCAGTTATTTTTAGTTAGCATATAGCTAAAATCTAACGATGGTTATATAATAGCAGCTGCATTCTGGCGCGATAAGCTGTATGTTTTATATTCATTTAACGTATGATCCGATTACTCGACTAATCGAAAAAATAATTGGTGATTAATTGATTATAAAAATAATCGTTTGTGGCAGCCCTAGTTGGTGACTCTAAAGCTTTATTTCAGCTGGTGTGTAAAGTTTTCCATCAGTGTCTGTGACCTGGATGCATTCTGTGATTTAAGGATGACAACATTAAAAACCATGATCCATTAAAAAAATTGAGGCAGATACCTTCATGTAAAACATCTCGTAGCGTTACTCTGTCCCTGGAGATCGCGATGTCTTTCACTTTTGCCTTTGCCTCTGCTAAAGTCACACTCCTCAGGTCATTCTTCTCTATACGGAGAGATGGGTAACCTGCAAGGAAAAATAAAAACAATATTCACATTTGACTCATAAAATCCACAACTTTCCACCTGATTGACGCAGTCCTCTAAACTGGATTAACAACAACAACCAGGGGACTTCTACTTTGATGGAGCCAAGAGATAAGGTTACATTTAAATCCTCATTTGAATTCAAATAAATACCAGCAATTACAAGAAACTAAAGCAGTGAGATGAGCAGCAGCTTACTCAGACGTTGCATTAAAGCGACCTGATGAAAAGTCACATATTACAGCACTTTTATTATAGAACTTCCCCTCGTACACACATCAGTGTTTGGTGAGGAGGGACGACGTTTAAACACAAAGTTCCCCACATGTCTACACATAAAGGATCCCTGCAAACAAAACATTTTCTATGTGAACTCAACTGATGAGTTCATTATTTTACATCCTGTGTAATTTGCAACTCGCAAAGCACGAACCATGTACTGGTGTATTAAACACAGGATGTATAAAAACAACAGAAAACACACCAGTTATTTAAGGCCAACCCTTTAAAAAAACAATCAGGAAGACTCGCCCACAATCCAATTACCATCAAAGATAAGATAGCCCAGATTACAGGCCAGATTACAGCCCTGCTGAAAGCAGCCGTCCAGTAAAATCACAGCTCATGTCAGTGCTGCCGCCTACAGCTCAAAACAAGAACATCACTTATTTTCAACCGTGCAGAAAAATGAGTGAACAAATGTTTAGACATATCAGACAAGTAGAGACACTGCACAGAGTGGATCCAACTGAATCAGCTGTGTAAACAATAATTAGTGAGCAGTAATGTACAAAAGGGATTACATTCTGTTCTCTGTTAGTCAACACTTAGAGGCAGATTTTTCTGGCAAATGTACTGTTTACACTGTGAAAAAGCATCTGTAGTTCCTCCAGCTAAAAAGTCTTCAGCCTGATGAAAACAGCATATTTGCGGTGGTAAATGTACAGGTCCTTCTCAAAAAATTAGCATATTGTGATAAATTTCATTATTTTCTGTAATGTACTGATAAACATTAAACTTTCATATATTTTAGAT